CCTACTCCTTTGCCTTATTCCATAGCTCAGGTGGGACTACCACTCAGCCTCCAAAGGGGAGATTAGAGTGATTCTTAGTGTCTTCCTTTCTTAGCCTCCAAACCTTGCCAGTTTTACATCCTACATTATTTTTAAAATCTACTCCCTAGTTTAGGTTCTCATTATGTTTTATCAGTATTATGATATCCTTCTGTTTTTCCTGACTTTGACTTTGTCTCCTCAATCCAGGCTCCATAGCATCCATCTAAAACTCAAATACTGTGTCCAGGCTACTTTTCCTAGTGAATAAATGGACAGAATACCTGCTCAGCAGCCTCTGCCAATTGTTGCTGAAATGCAAGTCCATAGAACTCTAAGAGAAGCTAAAAAATCTGGCTTTTTTAAAAATGTGAAATCTTCCCATTTTAAAATATTGGCTACTAATCTGACTGTGCGCTTCACACTAACACGTAAAGGCAGACTCACACATACACACCTCTGGACTGCATTAGACGTAAAGGCAGCCAATTGGTGCCTTCTGTCCTGAAGGTTGAAAGCAGAGCTTATGTATTCCACAGCCAGACCCTTGCTCCTCATTAGGTTCCTGATTCCCCAGGCCTGCTTTGAACTTCAGACCCTAACAGCAATCAAAGGTTTGTGGTCTCAAGCCATTCTATTTTTCTGAAATAATTTTTGCAAATAAACTCATCTATAGGGAACCGATTCACATGGCAATGGAGAATGTAGCTCAGCCCCAATTCAGAAAACTGGCAGGTGGGAGGCAGTACACATGAGCCAAGCCCACAGATCAGCTTTCCCATGGAGAACCGGGCCTGCCTTGTACCTATTCTGCTTTGAGGCTTGATTTGGCTAAAACTCCCTCACCCTGAATTGAGGTAGCAAATGTTTGCCGCATATCTTTAAAGTAACTTCCTAAAGTCTGAGCTAAACCTCCCAAGGATGGAGTGTAAACAGTTCAACCACTTTTCCCCTTGCATTTGCAACAAACTTTTCGTTGACATAATCAGCAACATCCTTTCCTTTGTTATCTGTAAAAGGTAATCACCTAAAGCAAACCTGTGCATAAAAAATGAGGACCATCCTCCATATAATGTGCCCAGAAAAACAATAAAAGTCCATCCAGGCAGGGATCGGGGTTCTCTCTTACTCAAAGAGTGGCCATGCCATGCCTTTTTCTCCACAGGATTTCTGCAGTCTGTGTGAATTTGTCTGTCGCACCCACAATACACAGACCCAGCTGGTCAGAGTCCGTATTACTCATCATTTTATGTTCACATTGTCCAAATCACTACAGAGTTAAAAAATTTTATTAGCATAAAAATCTAGTTGTTTGGAGAGACTTTGGTGTTAGACAGAACTGCATTTTCTCAGCACAGCTTTTCAATAACCTGTTTTACTTTCCTTGCTTTCTTCATCTGTAAAATGAGGATAATAATAAATAGTGATACTATTTATGCCATTGGATTATTGTGAGTATTAATTGAGATAACATATGCACAGGTCTTAGCCTGGAACTTGGCACAAGTGTTAAGTAATTTTATCTACTATTCCTATTAATTTGAAATTACACCATCTCTTTCAAACCACGCAATGTATTCCATAAAATAGCCTTTGGCTATCACTAAGGTAACTTATGAATTCAGCAGCTATGTAGCAGGTCAGAACTAAGGAAACTGATCCATTTTAGGTGAATTACCAGCATGAATTTCCACACATCTAACTGAGCAAGGAGACCCTAGTCTTTATCATATGTTAAGAGCTTGCTTTATTTTGAGACTAGGCTACTAAACTGATTTTTTAATCTTTTAGTACAAAAGTTTGTCATAGTCTTTGATAGGGTAGTAATACATGGAACTTCTCGGGTAGACTGATGGCAAAAAGCAGAAGCTGCATTATATATACTTTTCAGTTCTTATATTTAATAAAGACTTGAGAAATTCCCATGATTAAGGGTTTTAGGCCTCTTAGAAGTCAAAGATTGACAAAAAATTTAATCACAGAATTTCTCATTTTATTCTTACAACAATGTGGGAGTCAGAGAGAAAAATGAAGACAGTTTGGATCTGTGGCCTTTCATTAGTGGCAAAGGTCAAAGAATTGAGTTTTGAGCTGTAAGAGGTTTACCTTTAGTGCTTCATCAAAGCAATGTTTCTCACCTGCTCACAAAAAAATTTTGACCTATCAGCAACTGTCAGAGTCTGGGCAGAACAGAGTAGGAGATGGGCAGGTAAGCCAGCAAATAACAATTTGATGCAGAAGGCTCAGGAGACAAAAAAAGAGATGAAGTCTTATGAAAGCACAAGGCAGACAGGCTTCTCTCATTTGGAAAGTGGGGGTGGCTTCATGGAGAGGGGGCACTGGAGGTAGGCCTTGAAGAATGAAAGTAATAATGAAAATAATTAGTGTCCAGCATTGTTAAGTGCTTCCCATGAACCAGGCATTAAGTACTTTGTATGACTGAATTTTAATAATTCTAACAAATCTATGAGATAGTAATACCCATCAGTCCATTTTATACTTGAGAACACTGAGGGTCAGAGGGTTGGAGTAACTCGCCCAAAGTCACTCAGTGAGTAAGGAGCAGAGTCAGTACTCAATCCCAGACACCCAGACCTTGGAGGAAAGTGAAGATCAGGAAAACCCTCAGCATTGTGGGTTTTCTGTCTGATTCAGAAGATTTTTTTCATTACCAGCAAAAGTACTCAGCAGTTTCATTGCTACATGAGTGGTTCATGTGAAAAAAACCACAAAGGAACTGAACAAGCCATGAGTGTAAAAGTAAAAGCTCTCAGAGCAGGCCCAGCAACCATTGGCTTGAAGGCTGAGCCCCTAGAGCATAGCGTTTACCACCTCTGAACAAATCATAGAGAGAACCAAGCCCTTCCTACCTGCTGTATGGTGAGTGCTAAGGCTGAGGAGAGGGCTTGCTTGAGAATGAGTTGGAGTCACAGGAGGCACAGGGAAACTTTGACACGGAGAGAAAAGTCCATTGCCCTGATGAGGGCTAGAAGCAGCTTCAACGGGAACTGGTCTAGTCCCCTGGATATCCTGTAAAGACCTCACTTTTGCTGGGCTGGTGGCAGGAGGAAGAGGCTGGAAAAGGAGGGACAGAGGAATCCTTCAACAGAGGCTGTACAAGTAGATGTGCCAGGCATTACAGCAGCTACTGACATACCAGTAATGGTCCTCCATCAAAGATCTCTCATGACTCTTGGGCTCCCTGTTAGAAAGGAGACACACTGAATTGGCCCTAAGTTCCTCACCCCACTGCCTCCAGGAGGGCCTCTTTTTAGAATTTTCTGATAAAGAGTTCAACAGGGCAAATATTAGTTTTCTATCCAAAAGCAGGGAGGTGGCAGCTGCCACTTCCTACTGCTGGCATCCTGAGGCTGTGTCATACCCCTCCTTGGCCCACAATTCTTTCTGTCCCTGTCCCCAGGTAATATTTCTAAGAGGGCCAACTCACCCAGTAGGCTTCCAGATGAGAACTGGCCTCTTAGCCCAGGTCTGCTCTCTTCTGGAATAATGCTTTCAGCCAGGTGCCTACCCCTAGTGCCTCATACCTCATGAGCTGGGATTCCAGTTCCCAGACTGCTGAGCAGTTCCATGTTAAAGCAGGGCCCACTTGCCTCTCCCTTTCTCACTCATGTTACATCTCCTTTGGACCACTGTCTTGACTTCTCAAAATGGTCTCCTTGCTTCTATCCTCCACTTTCACCAGCAGTGGTCTTTCTATGATTCATTTATGTTTAGGACATTTGGTGGCTCCTGACTGCCCTTGGTATAAAGTGCCAGGTCATTGCCTTAGTTACTCAGCCTCAGTATACCAAGCCCTTTATAGCCTGGCCCAGCCTGTCTCTGTGACCTCTCATGGAGCCAGGTCTACCATACTCATCATCACCCTCCACAAGGGAGAGGTTCCCAAATCTTGGGAACCTGGCATTGACCATGTTGTAAAGATAGGGCTTGGAGTGTTTGATGGAATAAATAAAAATTATACATTCCAGTCATACCAACATACTCATGGTTTGCAAATGCTGTGTCATATTGTTCCTCATTGCTGGGCCTCAGGACACTGGCTCCTCTCAGAATTCCCTCCCTTGTGCCTCATGCTGCTCCATGGAAGGCCCTCAGGTGCTAGCAAAGTGTGCTTATTTGCCGGTCTTATGCACCAGCCATCAGGACAAACCTTTTTGAGCTGACCACAGCACCTGGCGTATCGTAGCAATTTCTCCATAAGTTGCTGCAAGGATGAGTGAGTGACAGATATGTTGTCACCTCCTTTAATGCTCTTTTTGAGAAAGAGTTCATAACAAGCACCTATGTCTCCTTAGATGCACACTCAAGTAACTCTATGCTGCAAGTGGGAACAAAAACGTGTTCACAGAAGATCAAAAACTATGAACAGCAAAATGACAATAAACTCACAGCTATCAACAACTGAACTTAGAAAACAAAGTCAAAAACTATGCAAACAACTAGAACAGGAATAGAATCACAGAAATGGAGATCACATGAGGGTTATCAGTGGGGAGGTGGAGAATGGGGGGAAAAGGTACAGGGAAGGAGAAGAATAATTGGTAGGCGCAAAATAGATGGGGAAGTTAAGAATAGTATAGGAAATGGATAAGCCAAAGAACTTATATGTACAACCCATGGACATGAACTAAGGGGAGGCGGGAATGCAGGAGCATGGGGGGTGCAGGGTGGAGGGGGATACAGGGGAGAAAAAAATTAGGACAATTGGAATAGCATAATCAATAAAATATACATAAAAAAGATAACTGAATTAACAAAGGGTCTGAAAGACAGAGATTGGTGTTAAAAATAAAGCATGTTTTATTATCAACAACAAAAAATGTGCTCACAAGAAGTATTTGAAAACAGCTCTCAGGGTGTGGTCATAATGGCACAGAAAACACAGCAATAGACTCCACGGGGGTCACTGAGCAGATCAGACTCCTCTTGTTCATGCACCTCATTCTGCTTCCTCTGCAACCATGTCTGACAAACTTGATATGGCCGAGACTGAGAGATTCGGTAAGTCAAAACTGAAGAAGATGGAAATGCAAGAGAAAAATTCACTACCTTCCAAAGAGATGGTTGAACAGAAGCGAGCAAGCGAATCGTAATGAGGCCCGCACTGCCAATATGCACTGTACATTACACAGCATTGCCTTCTTATTTTAATTCTTTTAGCTGTTTAGCTTTGTAAGATGTAAGGAGGTTGGATCATTTTAAATGACTGTGTTGCCCCTTTTCACATCAGAGGACTACTGACAATGAAGACTGCCTGCCTCTCCCATCTGTCTGTCTGCTTGGCAGGGAAGGAAAAGAACTTGCATGTTGGTGAAAGAAGTAGCTGGGTGAGATGATAGTGAAATCTAGAGTAAAAACCAAGCTGCCCCAAGGTGTCCTGCAGTCTGTAAAATGCAGTTTAATCAGAATGGCATTTTATTTGTTAAAATGATTTAAATAATTAGAATGCATAGTTTTTTAAATATGAAAATAAACAGTTTTAAAGCCTGAAAAAAAGGAAAGAAACATTAATAGAGGTGTTTGTTTAGCTCTTGATGTGGCTGAGCTAGAATGCCCATCCCTAACTGTCCTGCAGAACTTTGAGGTCTCCCAGGTTTTTTGAGTGACAGACATTCTAGTCTCACCTAGTTGACATGAAAGACAAATGGCAGGAGAGAAGTGCAGCAGTTGAAGACAAAAAAACAACAGGAGATAAGCTCTCCTTTTCTTATTTTGAATGGAATGTTAATGTCTGAATATTTTTGTAAAAGAACATAACATCATTTTGGTAATAAGGCTGCAATCCTAGGAGACTTTGTCTTTATGGCAGCGACTCCTGGTAATCACTTTATAAACCAAGTTCCCCAAGCTGAGGAAATAACCTTGAGACTCCCATGGCCCACACTCATCTGCCCTGACACTAGGGGTCAGAGTGGAAACTGAACTCAGGGAGGTTGCTTCTTTCCCACAGTTCAGAGTTACTCAAAGAGTGATCTCAGACTAACAACACCAGCATCACTGGGGGTGTGTTAGAAACACATATTGACGAAGAGACTGAGAAGATGGCAGAGGAGTGAATGGAAGTCACACTACGTCTTACCAGGGCCAATCTGGAATTCCAACTCAACTGTAGAGAAATCACACAGAACAAACAACTGAGCAATAGTGAGAGAGAAGCCTTTTAACTTTGGACAGACAGAAGTACCAGCTTCAGCATAACGTCTGGTAAGGAGTGTGGTGGAGACTCAAGAGCGCTGGCTAGATGCCTACAGGTGGCAGCACCAGAGGGATAATTAAGCAGCTGGTTGGATCCCCCTGAGAAGAATGAGTTCTAAACCATAGGCTAGGATTCCCAGCCTAAAGCACCAGAGCCCTAAAAGTACACAGATAAGAATCAGCAGTGAAAAGTGACAGGGATGCAGAGACAGACAGCTGGAGATGCAAGCTTCATTTAAAGGGCCAACACAAAAATTTTCATTTGCAGTCACTTATCCTGGATTCTGCCAAAGGTGGTGGCAGAGTGGACTGGTGATGCTTGAGGAGAGACTAAGGACTGAAGTTTTGGGGAGACAACTGAGAGAGTAGATGCTGAGATCCCGTTGCTCCTGAGTGTCTCCAAAATGGCAGCAGTGCTTATCCTCAGGAAGACCACTTCCCTCTGAGAAGCAGTAACTTGAGGGAAACAATAGCACCAACTCCAGGAGGGTCTATGCCCTGGCCCTGTGGTGCTTAAGCCTGACTGCTGAGTGCAGAGTGACTAGATTAACAACCAAAGAAGATAGCCACAAACAGTAGATACCTGGCAAAGGGCGTCAGAGTGGACTAGAGAGATTTGAGGAGAGACTAGGGATGGAGGCCTTGGGAGAGAACTGAGAGAGTAAACGCTGCAATCCTGGTGCTTAACCAATCCCCATATGGCAGCAACTATTTTGCTCAGGTAGACGTTCCCCTCCAAGCAGCAGCCTGAGGGGAAACATTAGCCCTAACCCCAGGAGGAATTCTGCCCCACCCTATGGGGCTTAAGCCTGACTGTTGATTTCAGAGTCATGAGATCAACTGGAGGTGACAGCCAGGGACAGGAGATCTCTGGAAGTATCGAACAGGTTCCCTAAGGTCAGATGGGGTCAACATCTGACATCACCAGAGGCAGATCCTGAAAGAAAAAACCATAGTAAATACAAGAGACTATCAAGACAAAATCTACTATAGTCTTTTCCATGATTTGTGATATTTTCTTTCCTGCATAGCTTTTTAACATTCATTTCTTGTCCATCAAGTTTCTACATATTAAGTCATTAGATTTTATACTATAGTGTATTTCAATTCATATATTTTACCCCTCTCTCCCCTTAGCCCATTTGTACCTTCCTCTTTCCTAGCATTATTTTCATTTCAAATTTTGTTTTCTCTCTTGATACAACTTGTTTCCATTCTGTACTCTTACTATATCTCCCCTGTCCAGACACACAAAACCAACTTTCCTGTCAAGGGTCATCTCATATCCTTTTCCCCTGCTCTTAAAATACCCACATCCTCTCTCCACTTTTAACAGTCTTTGCTAGTTGGTTGTGGGTAGGGCAGTTGTTGTTTACTGTTTTTTCAATTTTATCTCTAGAGCTTCATTAATTCTGTATTTCAAATATCAAATTTTACTGGTCTCCTCTCCTATTCTTTTTTTCATCTCAAATTTGAATTTTGCTGTCTTAGCCTTTTTTTTCTCTTTTTTAATCTTTTTTTCTATTTGTCTTTCAGCCTGCCCTTTTATTTTTCCTTATTCTCCTTTTGTTTCTTTTTCTTTTTTCCTACATTCCAACTTTTAACATCTCCCTGTCTTAGCCAGCTTGTTGTTCTTCAGTCTTATCATTCCCTTTCCCTCTTTCATTATAAAATCACTTCCTATTCCTTTAAATATCTCTTAGACTTTTCTTTGTTTCTTTTCCCCCTCTTATTCCCATACAACTTATGTTAATTTTAGCTCATTTAATGTTGATAGTACTGTGGTAGATCTTTTTCTCCAATTTGGCTCCTATATATTTTTAATTATTTACTATTTTCCCTTCCTCTTTCTCTCTCTCTCTTTATTTTATTTTGCTTTAATTTCCTCTTAAACCTAATACTATATGCCTCTCTCCTCATATTCCATTGCACATTCTTAATTCTCTTTTTTATTCATGATGTCAAGTTTACCTTCTCTCTTTCCATTGCTCCGACTCCCATCTCTTGTTAGTGCTCTCCCTCTACCCTCTCAAAATCATTTTATTTTAGTAGGTCATTTCATACTGCTCTCTCCTCTTATAATAGTCTTGATCTCTTTACACCCTTATTAACAATGGTTCATTTGCTATTGATAGTGGGATTGTGGTGGTGGGGGAGTTATTTGTGCAGTTGTGGATTTGTATCCTGGTTTCTGTGGTTTTGTTCAGGCAGCACCTACACAATAGTACACAAGACATGGTGGGCAGAGTGACCCTCAGTCAACCAGCTATAGAGAAGGACCCATAAAAAAAAACAACCTAACAACAATCAAAACCCAATTACATCTAGAGAACCAGCAAAATGGCATAAAGGGCATCCCTAAAGCATCAAATTCAGGAGATCAAGAAGACTGCACCACTGACTATCACAGGCCTTCTACCATAGAAGTTCACACCACAAAGTCAGGAAGTCAAAACAGATTAATTTTTACCCCTTTTCCTTTTAAGGAAAAGCGAACAAGAAAAGTGTCACAAATAATATGAAGACAAAGAGACAACCACCAATTGAAAGGAAAGGAGGAATCCACAGAAAGAATGCTAAATGAAACAGAGACAAGTCAACAAGCAGATATTGAGTTCAAAACAATGGTTATTAGGAGTGAGCTCAAGTAGCTCACTGAGAATTACCAAAAATAACAGGGAGACTATGAAGAACTTACTACAAATGATATCAGTATAAAAAAGAACATAGAAACAATCAACCAGGATCAAAGGAAATGAAGAATACAATTCTGAATCAAGAACACAGTCAAAGAAATTAGGCGTATGGTAGATGAAGCAGAATATTGAATCAGCAAGCTGGAGGGCAAGGTAGAAAAAAATCTGAAAAAGAGGAAGAAAAGGAAACGAGACTTAAAAAGAATGAAGAGGGTTTAAGGGAACTGGAGGACAACATGAAATGGAATAATAGTCACATAATAGGGATACCAGAAGTAGAAGAGGAGCAAGAAAAAGAAAACCTGGTTGAAAAAGTAATGATGAAAAACTTCCCTCATTTGATGAGAGAAAAGCGACACAAGTCCATAAAACAGAGAGGGCCCCAGTCAAGAGGAATCTAAAGAGTCCCACTGCAAGACACATCATAAATAAAATGGCAAAATTCCAAGACAAAGAGAGAATCTTAAGGGCACCAAGGGAGAAAAAGGAAGTAACATACAATGGAGCCCTGATAAGGCTACCAACTACTTCTCAACAGAAAAATTACAAACCAGAAGGTAATGGCAAGAAATATTGCAAGTAATGAAAAACAAAGGCCTGCATCCAAGATTACTCTATCCAGCAAGGCTCTCAATGAAAATGGAAGGTGAAATATGGAGCTTCCTGGACAAAAGAAGGCTCAAAGAATACAGTTCTACCAAACCAGCATTGCAAGGTATGCTAAAGGGACTGCTTTCAGATGACAAAGAAAAATAATGAGAGAGAGAGGAACACAGGTACAAAGGGAGTAAAATGGCAATGAATAAGTACCTATCAATAATAACCTTAAATGTAAATGGATTAAATGCTCCAATCAAAAGACATAGGATATCTGAATTGATAGGAAAATATGACCTGCACATATGCTGCCTACAAGACACCCACCTATATAGACTGAAAGTGAAGGGTTGGAAAAAAAGATTCCAAGCAAATGGATAGGAAGTAAAAGCTTGGGTAGCAATACTTATATCAGACAAAATAGACCTCAAAACAAAGACCATTAAAAAGAGACACAGAGGAACACTTCATAATATTCGAGAGAAAAATCCATCAAGAAGACATAAATATTGTAAACACATATACACCCAACATAAGAGCACCCAAATATATAAGGAAATTCTTGGAGGACTTCAAAAAAGATATTGAAAGCAACACAATTATAG